CTCCTTCCTTCCCCCTCAAACACTTTAATTCCATTTTTACATTCTCTCATATTTTTTCCTTTTCCCTTATTCCCCTTTCCCTATCCTTCTCACTGTCCCTACACCTTTGGTCCTTTTCTTCCTATTTCACATTGTTAATTGTGGTCACAATTTCTCCTCAGGAATAAAATGTGATTTAGTGGAAAAAACTTCTTTTTAGCAAAAATCATAATCATATTTCATTCTAATTGAGTATCCTTATAGTGATTTCCTTGGGGCCAAACCGAAGTCAGAAAACACACACTGCAGTTTGAATTTCAAAAAAATAATTCTGTGCCTATTAAGTTTGCAGGAAAGAAGACTTTTTCATATCCAATATTTTTAAACAGAAAAAGAAACTCAAGTTAAAGACCTTTTACTAGGCTTATAATTATTCAAGACAATCCATTTCTAATTAAACTTTCACAGCTGTAAGGAGTCTAGCCAATATAAAATTACTGTCTTTCATGCCTCAGTTTCCTAAGTTGTAATTGGAATAATTCATACAATGGAATTTTGGGGAGGCAATGCTTCAGGATTTTGTGGAAATCTTCGGTTTTTTTTTCCAAAATCCAGTTTGTAAAGTCAGGTAGGCCATCCAAAAAATCACAGTGGAAGAAAGATTATCTCAGGGGAAAAGTATTTACAGTATTTTCTTTAAAAACTGGTGGAAGAATAATATAACTTGTGCATCTTAATTTTTTAAGTATAAAGAAGTTTATATGATAAACTAAAAACTGTATCAATACTAGCACCATATATATGATTTGCAGACAGACAAATGAGAGGAAGAAGAGACAGATGGAGAAAGGCGCAGTCATAAAACACTCATTGAAAACCTCTTTCCAGTCCTACCTGGGGTTAATTCAGGAAACAGCAGTCGATAGTACAAGAGATGAATGGCTAAACTCGATCATGGGATGGAGCAAGAAGTTAGGACTGAAATGGGGTTGGTTCGTGATGCTTCAGAGGAGCTCTGTCCCCAACAGAACAAAGGATGGGACAGCCTGGGCCTGACTTAGGGTGAAGGAAGCTCCCGCAAAGGTTCAGATGGGTGTATGGGTCGTAGAGGTAAGGCGGCTTCATCACTTTCTCATCTCTGGGACACAGTACACTCACCACTTAATGTAGGAGAGGTTTATTTTGGTCTGTGTTTCAGTAGTCTCAGCCCTCGCATGTTGGCTGGCTCCAAGGCAGGACCAGATGCCACAGGCGCATGGCAGAGGAGAGTTGCTCAAGACATGGCAGAAGCAGGGAAGCAGGGAGCAAAGGAAGGGAGGAGTTGGTAAGAGCGATGTGACTCTGACCAGACTTCACCTCCTAACAGAGAGTGACCTATAATCTGATAGTCTTCCAAAGGTCCCATTTTTGAGTTCACGAGGCTATAGGGGGCCTCCAGATATAAACCATGACATAATGAAAGAGGAACAGGAAATGGGGGAAAGAAACAGAAGGGAGGGAAGAAAAAAGGAGAGATTTGGGAGGGAAAGACGGAGGGAAGAATTTCTCCAAGTAGCATGGTACTAAAAAAGGGCACAGGCTTTAGAATAATGGACCTGATTTTGAAATTTGGTTCTGTTAGCCTGCTTGAGCTTCCCAGGTTGAAATGCAATGGCAGGAATGTCTGTTTTAAGAAGGCAGTGATAGGAAAGAGGTTACATGATAAAGTAGAAGCATAGCTCTGTATAAAGAAAAATGCTAGAAAGACTGTTAGTTATTGCTCAGCAAGAGCAGTGATAAATAATTACAGAGGAGAAAAGGAGCCAGTAAGAAAGAAGAGGAAAAGAGAAAAAATTAGGAAGAAAAAAGAGGCATGAATAGAAAACAGAGAAGAGGTGGAAAAGGGACTTTCTCTTGTGGAGTCAAGTAAGAGAATTTCCTCCTGCTTGTTATTTTGTTTTCTGAATCACATCCCAATATCTGTTGTTTACTTCTACCTCTATAATGAAGTTTCTGATAATAAAGTGTCTTTAGAGCCCCGAGCTTCCTCTTCAACAAGAGAGAAACTTATGCTTGATTGGTTAAAAGCTTGTTCTACCATTTTTGAAACAGCTGATCTGAGGATTGAATTTAGTAACCCTTAGCATTGCTTTCTTGTATTGCTCTCTGGAGAATGATGTTTGGGTTCGGAGAAGTCAGGAACTGAAGTGATATTTCAGAATTATATCACCAAACATTCAGCAAGAATGCTCTGTGCTTCTGTAACTTGATAACATTTCAACAGCATCTACTCTCCGGATGCACATAAGAAAACTTGCTCTTGAAGGAATTTGTGTGTGTTAACAAATATTAGGCAGAGAAATGGAGTCTGGTGAAAGTGACGTGATCACATATGCATAGCATTTGCAGTTTACATGCACAGCCGGCAAGTGAAATGGTTTAATGAATGGAGAGATGAATGCATAATTTAATTATGAGTCATCATTATCAAAATGAAAATCTGATAGATACATAACTAGAAAATGTAGCTGTCTATTATAGATACAAGTGATAATTATATTTTGGAGTATATAATTTATGCTTTGAATAATACAGTGAGTAAGTACATTTGTCCTTTTGTGACTATTTTCTAGGAATGACAGAAAAGTTTGTCTGGAAACTGCTTCCTTCCTGTTATAGTCTTGAGAATGCTGAAGCTGACTCACTACGAAGTGACCTTCAGTTGCTCTGTAAGTGCATAAAAGAGGCATTCCATAGTGGATACTCAATGCTTAGCCCTAGAAATTCACAGATAACTGCTGAAGAAAACCTAACAATTACGGCTAACTTGTGAGACAGTGTGGTACTTTCATTTCTCTGCATTAATTTCCATAAAGATTCTCTTTCTGATTTGAAATTTTTAATAAAAGTTGATTAATGGAGTCATAATTTCTCAAAGTTTACATTTATAAATAATATTTATCCATATCATATTTAATCTTTAGATCAAAGCTATTGGTAGGCAAGGCAAATCTCTCCCTTTTCATCTAGAGAAATTGAGGATGAGTTGAGGTTAAAGGATTTCCCCACAGTCACACAGCTTGTGAGTGTCTCTTCTAACTTATAATCCAGTGTTCTTTTTATTTCATGAAAATTTACACCCAGCTTCTAATATTTTTCTAGTTAAAGTCATATTTTGTGACATTTGAAATTATAAGTGCTAGAAGAATTTTTTCTAAGCTTCAAAATAGAGGACAGAAAGAAAAGCTACAGAGTGGGAGAAAATGTTTGCAGAAGATACATCCAATAAGGGACTGTATTCCAAGATGTACAAGGAACTTTTAAAACTTGACAGTAGGAAAACAA